ATAAACCCACATAACCCATTACCACGTAGTCCAATGCGGATAATGTTTCCTTCCATAGAGAAAAATAAAACACAGAAACATTTACTGTAAGTAGGTGTGGCTTATTGTGAATTGCGTATTACGGGAAAAGTAACAAGAAACGATAATATTAGTAGATCGGGGTAACACAAAGTTTTAAAATACACACTTTTGAAAAAAAAGAAACTGCCGAAAATCTAAAAAGCCAAACTTTATAGATTTTTTATTTAGCTTTAATAAAAAAATCTTTAAATGAATGTAAGTGTTACATCTTGCGATACCCGGATGTCGAGAAGTACGTGCAGTAAGCAATAAACGGTGGGCTGGCGCTCGTTGTTCAAAAGTTCTAGCTGCTCGAAAATGTTCGAACAAAATCTTATTGAGCTTCAGTAAGTATAAGTATTTTTGAGTGAGCACTTAATCAATGAATAGAGATTACTAAAGTATCTTAAAGTCAAAGAAATATCCAGAATACCGTGGTCCTCTCTACTGCCAATTGCACGGCCAAAAAGAAAAAAGATTTAATAGAAATTTTGGAGTACATCAAGTGGTTAAAGCAAATCCAAATTCGACTTCTTTTCATACATTCCAGTATATTTGTATTTACATTTACAGGCCTTACATACGTGTATATGTACGCTACACTTTAGGCTAGAATGTCCAAAATTTTTCTCATCGAACCCGCCTCTATCTCACGTCTGCCCCTTCGGGTTGCTGTCTTCCTTGACTGAACGCTTGACATTTTCAGACGAAGCGTGGTATCTTGCCAATGATTCACATAATGAATTCATTTGCTCTCAAGTGATTAATGAATTGCCGACTCAAAATTATTACAGTAAACCCATATTAGCTTAAAAATTTAGTTAGTAATATATTATTTTCGATCTTTTAGTTTTAGTGGTGATATAGTTTTGGCATCGACTGTATATTCACATATTCCTGTGTGTATATCTATTTCTTAAGTTATGAAGTGATAAAAATAATAAATAAATCTGACAACTCGTAGACATGAACTTATAAATGTTAATATGCATTGAAAATTTCCAAGCCAGCCAATTAATTAGCGCCATTAGAATTGTTTGAAATAGATTAAGAAAATAATAAATATTTATTTATATTAATTAAATAAGCAACTGGTAAATTACACGCATATTAAATGTTGAATGATGAAAAGCTCAATCACGTTCATTGAAATGATTATCATGACGCCATTGTACTAGTTAGTTATGAGTTAGTGCTTACCTGCAAACAGATGAACGGGGGGAAGAAGTGGTGAAAAATGCGGGTGACATGCCTGCAGCCGACGTAAATGCAAGTTTTCTTAAGCACTTAGCGAATTGTTTATCAACTAAAATTAATTATTATGAGAATCAAATTTGCATAGCGTTCCAAGCACAGTGATACGGTGGTAGTGTAAATCTATATTTTCACAACGAAATGTAACTCTTCTCAACCTCAAATTTTTGTTTCCAATTTTTTTTTAAAGATTTTTTCTAAACGCATTTCAGTTTAAGAAACTGAAAGCGAGTGGTCTTGAAGTTTCAAATCTTCATTATTGAATTTGGAAGTCCGCTATACCGACCCGTATATGAGTTCACAGACGCATATTTCTTTCTCTTTCTTTCTGAATAGTAGAGTTCTAGAGATGGGATTAATCTTTACAAGCTTATTTATATCCTAAACTATCTTTGAATCTCACTGGTTAGTACTTCAAATAAGCAGAACTAAATTAATTTTTTTATATTTCTTTATGTAGCTAAGACAAAAAAGAACACTGTGAAACACCGTTTTTTTAGTAAGAACGAAAATGCGACTTCATGGCTGCAACGCCATTGCGTTCGACGGATAGTTCGTATCTTGCATCTTTGAAGGCTAAAATCGTTTCAGTAAAATCATTGCGAATGTAAAATGCTTTTAGATTTAACTGCTAAGTAGCAAAACAGACGGTGCTGGTGGTGGTGGTGATGCGGCAGAGACTCTTGGCGCCGGCGCCAATGATTAATTGAAAAGCAGTTCTAATTTAATGCGATCGGCTCCAAAGTAAACTTCGTCTGACGCTTGCCTTCGGCCATTGATAACTAAGCGGTAAATTTGAATGCCTGCCGTCTCGTTCGGTGCAGCGTCGTTGGCGGTGATGGCGGATTTCACGCTTCTTTGATTTAACATCATTGGACGTGGCAAACTCACACGGAGCTAGTTAAACCTGGCTTATGATAATGACGCTGTGATGAACTTATTCATTCGCTGGCTGAGTGAAATTAAATACTTAGAATATGATAAAGGTTTTTAAGCTGTCGTGATGAATTCGATATACAGATATTTTTTTGCTATCAATGCCTAGAATTAACAAAAGTATTATTTAAACCACTTGAAAAACATGGGTATGCGGTACCAAGAGTTCTATAATTCAACGAGCTTCTACGAGCTATTACCCCGAATTTTCAAAAATGCTGAAGTTGCTAGAAAATATTGTCTCTCCTGGAACCAACGGGAATGGTATTAGACCGAGTAGTCAATTGAACAAAAAGGCTTCCAGCTATACATGTTGCTCATTATAATTTTTGGAAAGATAATGTGGAGTAAATGCTTACTTTTTGAAAGATAACTAGATTTATTAAATAATTTTAATATAGTTTTTGGATTTTTCATTAATTTCGAAGTTTGAAAACACTCAGAATTCTCAACGATTATGAGCAAAAAGATTCATCAATTATTTATTCTGAGCGCTCAGAAATTTACTTTTTAATTTTATTAACGATTGCTCAAAATTTCAAAAATTTTTCCTGGTTTGGTTGGGTGGCTTGGGTTAGGCTTAATAAGGTCACTAACAATTGTCCATTTCTAATTGCAAATAGGAATTTTTTATGGAACGAAATTTTTATATACTGTAAAAGTGACTTTTTCATATATACGTACATACATCTCTAATTTTTTGTCTTGAAATAAATATATTTTACATACACTTATAAAAATTTGAAAGCCTTATAAGTTTTCCGTTCTATTTTAATAAAGAAATAAATTAAAATGAATTAAATCATTTGTTTCCGCCCAGGATCGAACTGAGGACCTTGTGCGTGTGAAGCACACGTGATAACCGCTACACTACGGAAACTGATAACTTACTAAGGGGAGATTTGAAACGTGTGAAATTTACAGAGAACTTGAATACTCATACAAATTTTCAACGCATAAAATATTACGATTATTTATTTCTTTACTTTGTCTTAAGAACTTTTAACGCGTATTACTTTAGAAAAAAATATAATTAAATAAAAGAAATAATTAAAAAAGTAACAAATAAAAAAACTATCAGATTTGTTTCCGCCCAGGTTCGAACTGAGGACCTTGTGCGTGTGAAGCACACGTGATAACCACTACACTACGGAAACCTATAAAATATCTTGGCCAAATCAGAACTGCATTGCCTGCAAATGTAAGAAAGCATTAAAAATATATTAATTAAATTATTTAAATATTTTATCGTTATTACTTTAGGCTTTTTGACTATTGCCTTCCTGCATATCTTTATATCTACTGTATCTGTAACTCTTATATATGTATGTGTGTACTTGTTAACTGCGTACTTTCAGATACAATTGTTGTATTTCGCAAACTTATGTATTAGACAACCGAAATTTCTATTGCAATCCAATTATTTATTTTTTTCAGTTTTTGTTTTGCTGTTATGCGACTCATTTCACATCTCATGATGCGAGAAAGAGAAGGCACTATTGAATGATTAAATGCTGTTTGTCTCAGAAGTGAGCCATTTGACATTAATTTAGGCGAGAGTTTCCGTAGTGTAGTGGTTATCACGTGTGCTTCACACGCACAAGGTCCTCAGTTCGAACCTGGGCGGAAACAAGATAGACTCGGGAAAAATGCTTTCTCTCTTTCTCATAGATAATATTTTGTTTTTATAATTTACTAATCCTTATTTAATTTACATGTTGAGTAATAAAATATGTTTTTTTTTTGCAGAAAATTAAAAATTGGAAAGTAAAATTAGATTTAAAAAAAAACCATATATATATTAATTATAAAAAAATATATATTATTTGATAAAAATATTAAAGTTTATAAAAAATGTTCGCTTGTTTCCGCCCAGGTTCGAACTGAGGACCTTGTGCGTGTGAAGCACACGTGATAACCACTACACTACGGAAACCACATTATCGACTTTGGTGGAGAGCGACTACAATTCACAATTCAATAACACATCAACATAAGGATGTATGTACGAATATAAAATAAAAATGCTCAATAATCTATTAAATATACTTTGACAACTTCAGTACACAAATAGTTTGATTTATTGGTATTATATTGCTGCCGTGTACATTTGTATGTACTTATTTATACAGTACAGTAAAGTGAAAACGACATTAATTACACTATTAACTGACAACAATTTTAATACAAATAACCTACGTACATACATATGTATATAATTGGAATTAAGCTTGTGCGAGTTGCGCTTCAGTTTTAATTGCAGTATTGAAATGACCAAAACGAGAAATTAGCTTTAAAACGCTGTAAGAATATGTAAGCAGAGGGATTAGAAATATTCTACATACAGATCAGGGTAACTCAAAATAAAATTATATTTATTATAAATTTTTATTATATATAATATGTGCATGAAATATTGTGTTAAGTGAAGTAGATCAAAACTACTATGAAACTCGTATGTGGTATACGCCGTGTAAGCCATTTGGGGTTTTCCCATGGAAGAAATGCCTTACAATTTTTAAATTCCAATTAGTAAAATACTAAGCTCATACCGATTCAGTTCTGAGCCGAAATTTGTGACTTTGAGAAACTTAACACTGGCCAGCAGAGTTTATTTTGATGATAATGCGATAACTCAAATATTGAAAAGTCTTATAGTTTTGAACTATCTACTTCTGCCAGAAAGTTCATTGGCTAATTCTTTAATCATGACAAGGACTAAAACTTTGACTATAAAAAATATATGCCTTTCTTGTATATACGTACGTAGATAAGTGTATTAAAATCACCACAACATTTATTCCCGTATACACACACTGACACATCCATCGTTATGCAGAAATACTCCGCCAGTAAATAACAGTAATAAAGCGCTTGCGCTCTCAAAATATATAAAACTTTATGCCATCGTTACCGAATTGTTAGTAATGTTATTTGTTTAAGTTTGTTGCGCTCAAATAACTCGAAATGATTTATTGCTGTTATTTGTTTAAAGACTGCAAAACGCTCGAGCTAAAGCATTTTCCTAGGAGGAGTAAGAGAGTTTATACAAAGTTTGTAGGTGAATAAATGAGACAGCGTTCAAATCACAACTTCATGAACTGAGGCGGGTCCCGTACGGCAAATATATTTAATAAGTGGCAAGACTGGTGCAGCTCAGTTCCCTGGGAATATATATGTGCCTTCATTTCTTGTGTGTATTCATGTATATGTTTGTGAAAAGTTAGTATTCAATAAACATTTACTGTGTCAACAAAAAAATTTTATGAAGTGTATTTTGTTTTGTAGCAGCGTTTAATAAATTAACTTAATTTAAATATAATGGCTGATGAATTTGAGAAGTTTGAACAATCCAAAGATTCTGATGATTCTTTGGACTCTGCAGCACCTGTAGAATCTGAACAAACTGAAAATTCTGAAATATCGAAAGAGAGTGAAGAATCTGAAGATGAAGAAATATTGGATGTAATTATATTTGGCGCGTCCAGCTCTGTTGGTAAAAGTGCGATGGAGAGCGCGATTGAAGTGTTGGATGGTTTAACTTGGGGTATTGCGGGGCTGGAAATGGTAAACTTCTATAACGGCAAAAAAGAAGTTGAAAATAAAATATATGTATGTAAAAAAATTCAAATTTCGTAACTCTTAAATTTTTTAGAAAAATTTGAAAATGGCCTTGAGTGAAGTCGAAGAAAAAACTGGCAAAAACCTCAGCGACATATCGATATATGAAGTTAATGTCCATGATCCAAATTCTGTAAGGGAAATGGTACAAAACTGCAAGGTAATTGCAATGAGCATTAGTGGTGCAGTACTACAATAAAAATATTTCAATTTGGTTTGACCTCATCCACTATCATCAGGTCCTCGTTAACTGTGTCGGCCCCTTTATGTTCCTGGGTGAATTTGTTGTGAAACAATGTATTCTCGCCGGCACACATTATGTGGACGTTAGTCATGAGCCAATTTTTACCGCTCTCATGACCATAATATACGACCAATGGGCCAGGGAAAAGGGCGTTTATGTGATCCCTTCTTGTGGATTCATTGCAGTTGCAGCAGAAATGGGTGTCGTATTTGCGCAAAAGATGTTTCCAGGTACAATATGATTTTTGATTAGGACATTTTCTCTTGTATTATAGATGCACTCTCCTTGCACATTTCCAAATATTTAAATTTTTCCAGGCATTATAAATTCCATCGAGTCCTTTTGGGAGAATAACGTTTATTATAAGGACAAATCTTCGAAAGCTGTGCTGGCTACGGGCGCGTGGGACAGCTTTGTCTATTCACTCAGAACCGCCAACGATGCTTTCATATACCAAATGGCGCTGAAACCTAAGGATTATCCTCATTTGTTGCCACGATGGGGAACGCGGTAAGATATAATGGGTACACAATTCCATGGAGAATATATAGAATATATGTATGTATAAAAGCGATTTTAAAAACACTGCTAGTATGGCATTTCCATTCTTTTGAAAGCTCATATAAACTAAAATATAAACCAAAAATAGCGAAAAAAGTTGGGTTGCTTAGGAGTCTGGGTTTAGTTTTTGCAGGACATAGTTTTTATGACTGTGTTTAGTCATAATTCGTAGTCGTAGACTCTTATTTTGCTCAAAATTTTACATTAAATTTTATTTTATAAATTCCGCTTGTGATTTTTTTTTAGCCATATCCTATTTAGGATTAAATGTATATACATATTTATTCATACAATTTTTAAAAAAATTTTCTTCTTTCTACCCATAGTCCGTTGCCACATAAGATTCCCCGGCTGGAGAGTAATTTTGTGCCCTTCAATGGGGGAGATCGTAATATTGTTATGAATAGCCAACGCCTGTGGTTTAAATATGAGAGAAAACGACCAATACAATATAAAAACTATATTGGATTCAAGTATGTTTTTGTTTTTTGTTTTTCAATATATTTTAATAGTATTTGAATTCATAATTTTTATTTAATACTCAATTTTCATTTCTTTTTCCAGATCCAAATTACAGGGCTACTTCGTACCACTTTTCTTGGCTTTCATCTCCCTGTTAGCACAATTCACTCGCACAACGAGATTTCTATTAAGTTATGTGACATTTTTTACTTTCGGATTTATAACCGCTAGCGGTCCCACCGAGCGCAATAGGAATTCTCATCACTATAAAATAACATTCAGGAGCATAGGCTGGCACAAAACTGAATGGATCTCCAAGAAAAAGCCCGCTTTACAAATGTGGACACAGGTAACTGGTTACAATCCTTTCTATGGTGCGAATTGTGTCGCCGTGTTAACGTCAGCGAAAATGATTTTACAGGAGGAAAATAAAATTCCTGGGAGGTAAGTGAAAGCAGAGTAGCTACATCACTATTAAGTGTGCATGACAAAAAGTAAACCAGAAAGCAAATCATACATACATAAATAATTTTACCGCTAAATTTATAAATTCCTTTAAAAAATTGTATTGGTATTATTAAAATCACTAAGTTATTCTCTTTTAACTCTTTAGGGGCGGCGTGCTCTCACCAGGCTATGCATTCGCCAGAACCACTCTACTAGATGAATTGCAGAAGTACAAAAACGGTATGAAATTCGAAACGGTATCTGTGAGATGCAAGGAACGTGACTTCTTAGACGTCTAAGTTCGCTAAGCTTTGGTGAAATAGCACAATGTGTGGATTAACTCAGGAAATTAAATTATAAGCTGTTTTCAATTGAATCTTTATACATACATACTCGTACTATTATATAGGTACATATACGAAAATGTTATGTGCAATTCAAATGTGAATTTATGTTAATAAAATAATCTCAATTGCATGTGAGAGAAGAGCAACTTTTATTTGCAATGTACAAATAGTTAAAACGTTTACTATGAGCAATTTAGGTACATAAACTTATATAGATATGTTCTAATAATAGAAATCCATGTAATTAATCACCAGTAATGTCAGTAATTAACTAAATACGAACGCGATTTGGCTTTGTAATTAAGAAATACGAGGGTGCACATAATGTTGTCGTTGTTTTATTTAATTTTAATTTAATGTTATACTTTTCTTTTTATTTTAATGTTTATATATTTATTTTGTTTATTTGCTTTTTTACATTATTTTTATTTAATTTGATTTATTTTATTTCCTTTCATTTTATTTTAAATGATTTATTTATTCTATTTTCTTCGCATTTATTTATATTTGTTTGTTTTACTTTATTTAAATTTAATTTAATTTAATTTTTCATATTTAATTAAATTTCACTATATTTAAAATTTAAAAACTTTCGTCTACATCCTCGTATTTGCATGTATGTGTTCAAATAAAAATTACGCAATGAATGATTTTGCAAGTGAGCTTAAATGACCTTGAATACACCAACAACAAATTACTAACTGAACAATTGATTATTGAGAACCCAAAGTTTAGTCTCACTTGAGCTTTCGAAGCGTTAACAAATCGCAAACAATAAACATAACGCTGGAAACGAATAAATTTGTTGGAAAATAGCGTGCAACCGAATAAGTGAAAAGATGTCACAAAAATTAGATGTGATAATATTTGGTGCTACCGGTTTTACGGGTCAAATCGTGGTTGAGAAGGCTCTCGAAGTATTAGAAGGTCTGACGTGGGGTATTGCGGGACGAAATAAGGTAAGTAATGAACTACAGAGCGAGCGCGAGAGGGAGAGAGCGAGTTGCAAAGCATAAATTTATATGTATAACGCTCTTAGAGCAAACTGGAAAACGTGTTGAGCACCGCCGGTAAAGCAATTGGCAAAGATCTCAGCGCTGTGCCGGTTATATTGGCAGATGTGGAAGACCCCTACTCGATTGAACAAATGGCGAAGAAGTGTAAGGTGAATGATAGCTAAAAGCAAAAGGTTGAAATTTAAAACAAATGTAAATACAATTATGGTTTTATTAAGATCGTTATCAATTGCTGCGGCCCCTATCGTTTCTACGGCGAGGCTGTTGTAAAAGCTTGCATCGAAGCCGGCACTCATCATGTGGATATCAGTGGGGAGCCACAATATATTGATGGAATGCAAGTGAAATATCATCAACTGGCACAGGAGAAACGTACTTATATAATTTCAAATTGTGGATTCGATAGTATACCTGCCGAAATGGGCGTGATACATGCGGAAAAGAATTTTCCAGGTCTAGCTTCCTCATTTTTTATTTATTTGCAATTTCTATTTTTATTTTATTGAATTTGTGGTAAAGGCGTTCGCCTAACATCGACTATGCTAAAGAACTTTTCATCAATCATATGCTAAAAAGGAGAAACAGATTAACAAGAATCCGATTCGTCTAATTAATAGATTAAGATTTGCTTTATATACATATGTAAATTTAAATGTCTGTAATTGATTGAATACATATTCATATACGATGAATAATTTTGAATATGTATGAGTAACATCCACAGGTACTGTAAATTCGTGTGAAATGTTCTGGCAGAACATACTCGACCCTCGCGATCGAAATTCAAAAGCGGTATTGCACGCTGGCACTTGGGAGAGTGCAATACATGCGATGGCTAATTTTGGAGAATTACAAAGATTACATCGAGCCCTGGAGACGGAGAAGTTGCCAGATTTGCGACCAAAGCTAAAGTATTGGTAAGCCAATAAGCATTCATTAAATTGCAAGATGTCGATCCAATTTTTCAAAGGGAAGCACTTTTTAGACAAAGGCGCCCTTGCTGTCTATGGAGATGTGGAAGTGGGATATCAATGTTTGATGCCTTCCCTGAAGTACAATAGTTTCCTGCCAAATCCGTCTCGTGGACTGTTGACGATAGCCGAGGGTTTCGTGGTTGATTCATGTAGTAGGGATCTGGACATTTACCACACATACGTACAAACGTTCTCGCAGCTCCACTAGTACGCACTCGTACGATCAGTAGCCCTAATTTTATATGCGGCTTTCACCCCAGTATAATCTCTAACGGAGATTTTCCCTTCCAAAAGAGTTAACGAATGACACCAACTACATCGTTCAAGAAACGTTTTGTCGCGTAGCCTGTTCCTTGGTTACACTTTGGCAACATGGCGAGAACCTTAATACACCTACACTTACTTTCTGGATATACTTTGTTATGCTCCTGTGCTACACATCAGCAGGAACGTTGGCCTTCTACATTAAAAGTTGTGCACAAGATGCTAGCGACCTGCTTTGAACAGAAATTCAAAATACTTTGATTTGTTTCCGATCTAAAGCAAATATTAAATTGAAAACGCTGTTCCCACAGTCATACAATTAGCTACTACTCAAGAAAAGCTCTAACAAAAACTTAAAACGCAAAAAAGCAAGAATATTTTTCGACAATAAGATTCAAAAAAAATTGCCAATTTCAATCTCGCCTCTACTTCCATTTGCAGTCCCTTCGTGCGAAAAATTAATATCCTCGATAGTTATTTCTTCGCCATACATTCCGGTGATCGTGACGTGGTAATGAATACACAACGCTTACGTTATATAAATGAACGAAAACGCCCAATACAGTTCGAAAATTATATAGGTTTTGGGTAAGTGCAGGAAGAGGAAAATATATCAGTTTCATTATTTAATGTTACCCATACACAGATCCTTATGGACAACCATTTTAACACAATTGATCCTACTATTTACGGTTGTAATGGCACAAATACCTGGTGTACGGAATATCTTAATTAAAAATCCGAAATTATTCACCAGAGGCTATATGTCACATGAGGGACCGGTCGCCGTCAACCGAGCGGCACAAAAATTTCAAATGACATTTCGCACCAAAGGTTGGACGGAAGGGCAACAGTTGAGCGAGGAACCAAAGCAGGAGCTTCTAACGCGCATCTCGGCTCTCGATCCGTTTTATGGCATGACGGCTTTATCCATTTTGGTGGCTGCAAAAATTGTACTCAAAGAGCCGGAGAAAATGCCAAACAAGTAAATATGACTACAGTCAATTTGATTTAAGTAATAAATTTATTTTCAGTGGCGGCGTCATCTCACCCGGTTACGCCTTTGCGAAAACAAGCCTCATCGAAGAATTGGCTCGCTTGAAGAATGGCTTGAAGTTTGAAGTATTGAATTTAGAACAACATTAACTTATATACCAATTTCTACATACATACGTACATGTATATCCGAAGGGTGGAAGATTTTTATATTTGTAAATATATTTAAATTAAAGTCGTATTTGCACAATTAAAAAAAGTACTTGAACATAATTTATTATTCAAATGCAACACTGTCCAAACGATAATCATATCATTGTCATGGTCTGGCGCCAATACAGATAAATCACTTGCCGGTGTCAGTATTTAGTCGACTTAAGCCACATTTTATTTTAACAGTAATTTACATGAGCTCAAAGCACGATTTACACATGTACGTCTATGTGTACATACGAGTATATATTTTCATATATACATAGTAAAACAGTATAAAAACAACTCTCCACCCGTTTACGCCATCAAATGGCAAAATTGATTTATTCCAGCTGATTGATCATTGATTACGCCGCCTCTTGGAGCTTGGCCTGGGTACTCCCATTCACATACATACATACATAATACACTTGGGGCTGCCAAAGCGCATTGCTTGCCATTTGAAATATTTTGATATGTGCACCGATCCCAAAGTGGCCCCAACTTCGATCCATACTGGATTATCTAAATAGTTGACACTTTGCCACTGTGGCAGTGATCGCACTGGTACAGTGCGCGGTCGCGTTTTACATGGTGCGCAGATATATGTGTTGACATTTACTCACCTGTACGTATTTATCTCGAGCACTTTTCAGCTTAATAAATTGCTTTTTAATTAGGTATAAGCGATTGTGTGAGTGTTTGTGTGTGAGTGACTTGCGAAGTCGGGTTTTTAATCCTTGATTGCTTGCGAGCACTTTTATATTAATTAATAATTAATTATTGAAAGTATTAATGAATCACGTTTTTATGAATTTTCTATGATTTATACAAGGTTTAAAATATACTTTTGATTTGAAACAGTTCCTCATTTTCCATTGCCGACAATACAACTGCGCAGGAAAAGTAGCCACGAAATATCGAAACCTAATTTCATGAGGTAAGCTCTTTTTAAAGAAATGCATAATCTTCATTAGCATAAGAAACTTAACCCAATTGAGAGTTGTCCACCCTTCCTCATAGGCACTCTCCGCTTGGTTTCTTGCGAACTCATTTCGAGTGAGTTTTCTTATATTTCCGTTAGTTCATCCTTGACGCTGATATAACTATCAAATTTATTTCGAGCTAATGACCTCGAGACTTAAGCGCCAATAACTCTTTTCACAATCGGAAGTAGACTTCGTGTTGCACAAACGACCATTAGAATGTTTGATCCCTTAGAGGATTTAAAACAATCAGGCTTATGCGTTTTCAAATCGAAATTTCAATTCATTTTCGATTCGCGTTGGGTAAAAGTTCTCATATTTTTTGCAATATCAATTATTCCGCGCCCGTGAAGCTTCGAATGACAACAAAATATCGAAAATAGGGCAATGATATTTGGAAATAAAAATTTCGTACCAGTAGGAAAATGAAAGCTTATGTTATTATAGATAGAGATTTACATATATGTATATGAGTGTATGTTTGTATGAGACTACCAACAACAACAAATATATTTTAAGCACGCAGCTTTTTTTTTTAATTTGGAAAGCTTTTGTAGAAATTCCATTTTCGAGCTTTTTTACGAAATCCCACCAAGTAATTATAGTTTATTGTATGTGGTGTTAAATATGTATGCATGTGCCCAACTAAATTCATTCATGCATACATTCGTCGATAAAGCAGTGCGTAGTTTGTGTGCGATGTTGAGTTGGCTTATTTGTGAGTATTGGGGATATATGGGGATGTAGCTCAGATGGTAGAGCGCTCGCTTAGCATGTGAGAGGTACGGGGATCGATGCCCCGCATCTCCAAGAAGTATTTTCTTTTTAAAAATAATTTGATAATTCTTTTCGGCAAATAAATATTCGCCAGAATTCATGACATTTTTTCAGGTCATCGTGCGATGAATTCACGTTAAAAAGGCTTCAAACCAAAAAAGAAAATAAAATAAAATGTTTACATTTTACAGCAAAAAAGTATTCATACATATGAGTAAGTATATTAGTAAATATTAGTAAATGAGTGCAGTTTACTCTTATATGGTTTGTCTGTACACGAAAAGGAGCTGTCTCTATGCCGAGATGTCTGAGGTGGACGAACCCCAAAACTTATACCGCCATATATACCGTCGCATACTGACGATGATATTACTGGCCTCCACAGCCGCGACGTTAGTTCTGCTTTCTCCAAGCTGTATAAGGAAGGTAGACAAAGTGTTTTGTAGTGAATAAAGACGAGGCGCAATATATCCTGTCATCAAAGAAGCAGTGCTTCTTTGGACTGAGTAAGCAGCTGAAAAGTAAAGTCCTCTCTCGGAGAGCCAAACATTACATCTGCTCATCCGCTCATCATTCCCGTATTGCTATATGGTGGACGGCGTTAGGAGTTTACGAGAGAGATGTTTTGCGTAAGATTTATGGTCCCCTGCGCGTTGGAAACGGCGAATACCGCAGCCGACGAAACGATGAGCAGTACGTGATATATGATGACATTGACATAGTTCAGCGCATGAAGCCAGGTCTTGTGATTCGTATGGATCTTGAAAAGTGGAAGCAGAGGAAGAGGAAGACCTCTGCCTACGCGAATGATGAAGGAGCAGGAGAAGATACACGTGCTTTACATAACTATTACTGTGGTGTCGTAATTCTCTTACGTGCCGGTGACAGCGAGTGATTAAATTCCAATCCGTTGAAGACTTTCATTTTACGAAACGCCACTGAGTCGAGCATGTATCTACCTTACCTCGGCAACATGTTCAATTTGGTTTTTGAATTTTCTTATCTACATACATATATTCATTTTCACAGTGTAAAAAACATTTATTTATGTTTACATTTAGATCGATAATTTGCGAATAAAACTCCTGTGATCCCCAATATTTTATATGCACTGCACATATACAAAAATACACGCACTTAAGACATAGCTACACACATTTGGTTAGTGTCCATTAGCCGGGCATTGTGAATTGTGTTTATTTGTTTAGATAATCTTTTTCACTTCTTTAAGAAGTTTTTGAATAGCGAAAGAGAGAGGAAACGATAATATTTTTAAGCATTTTATAAGCCGTGGTGGTGTGTCAATATTTGTTGCTAAATTCCAACTGTTGATTAATTATGACCTCAAAGAGTTATCGCAGGGCCTTCGATCATTACAAATTCGAACGCGTACCGACGCTCATGTAGGCAATAAAATAGAAGACCATCCCAAGTGACATAGGCACACGGCGTATGCGCCAGCCAGCCGTGAATATTGTGATGCCGAAAAATCGAGTGAAATTTGTTCATATTTTAGCAAATGTAATAATGTTTACGCTTGAAGATCTGAACGGAGTGTAAAGTAGCGCCTTGTGGATTCTGGGCGACAATTCTTCTGGTCAATGGCCGCATAAATAACCGACTGAGGTGATGGAGGTTTTGGTTTAATGTTAGCGATAGATGTATAGATTGTGAACTGTTGGTTCAGAAGTGCTCTTTTCCAAATCTCGAATTATCGCAAAGCCTGTTTAAGAGCGTTCTCTTCGCTTAGGGAACCTGACGCCGTCTAACGACGATCGAAGGCTGACAACTTTCCATCAATTCATGTACATGTGGATATGGCGAGCAGATTGCCTAACCGACTTAGCAGGCGTATTATTTTAGAAAACAACGTAACCGGTTTGATTCAGTTCATGCAATCGGCTGAGGAGGCTAATTAGAAGAGAAATTTGTTATGTAATCAAATTAGCCAAAAGCTTGTCACTCAAAAGACAGTCGGGAAGAGTAAACATAATAGGAAATTCCGCGGGAATGATGGTATTGAACATGTTATGACGGCCAAAAGTGTCAGTCAAACAAATATCTGCAGTAGACATAAAAACACATGTACATATGTATCTGCAAGGCCTCAAGTACCAGAAGTAAGCCGATTCTAATGTACAACTGGCGACTGAGCGTGTGACAGCGGAACAAACAAACAAGCAAACAAACATGCAAACAAACATGCAAACAAACAACAAAAACATAACTGATCAACACGATCAAAACTTTGGAGTACTCTCGACAGACGACGCCGTTTTCGCCGCCGCTGAGTTTGCGTTGCAAGGCAGAGTGGCCGGCAAGCGTCATGTGAAGAACCGGCATTCGGCGACTTTTATGGCAGTCATAAATGGAAATTAAATACATAAATACTTGTGAGTTCTGTGTACATGCTTGTTGCTGTTTGGCGGAGATGCGCCGCTATGCTGCTGAATTCAATTTACCACATTTCAATCAAAATGAATGTCGGAAATGTCAACGATTCGCTGTGGCTCCTCTGCCAATTGGCATAATGTCGTAACAACTATTCTCGCCCATCCAAGCATACATACATACATATGTGCACATAGATTGCGCTAAGCCATTCTTATATCAGGCATAGGGAGATAGTAAGGACTGGAGGTAAAACAACTTTGTTCATATCATGGGTAAATGTAAAGCGAAATAAAATTAAAAAAAAAAACTCATTGGTCGAATCGGACCGAATATGAGGTCACTGCATAGATCGGGTTTGAGAGAGATTGAGTGTCGTCTTTCGAGAGGGTCGGGGATCCTGACTCTTTCAACGCATTCACGATAGTTTTGCATTCAATGGCCAAAGACAGTGCTGTATACTGTTTAATTACAAAGTTCGTTTATAATTCACCGAAAACAGTGATGAGGGTCACAGATAAATCGGGTTTCTGCTGCTTAGCTAATATGAGCTCTTTCTAGTAACTTTGACTTAGATTTGGCTCACATAAAGATTCGTAAAGCTTGCGTACTGCTGAGGAGAGCGGGCCCATCCCTTACCAATATCACTTCTGGAGAAATATAAAGCAAACGACTTGATTCTTCTTTCGATGCGAGATTCCAGAACAGTCTCCAATCCTGGATTATTCTCGAAAATTTTTCTGGGAAATAAGGCAAATGTTGCCTTACCGGAATTTAGAGTACGGTTGTTAATGGTCACACAGCCAACTTTCTTAAGGGTCTATATATATTTATGCTGCCCGGATATATACAAATACATATGTATATGCATATTTAAGGAGACCGTTCTCGATCTTAGCTCTTCCTTACAAGCTGT